CAGGAATATACAGCCATAAAGTACAAGCAATTATTTATTGACCAATGCACCACAAAGATGGCTGCTATTTAATGAGGCTAATGTGTTCACTGTTATCTTAGTACCACACTCCATTTCATGACTGAATTCCTCCCAGGGCCTCCCACTTCATCTCACTCTTGCTGGCCAGTAGTCCTGATTTTGTTCACGCTGTGCCTGGCATTGCTGATGGCGCTGGTTACCCTGGCAGTTTTATGTAAGTACTAATGCATTTCTGTTTGCTGGGGGGCTCAAGCTACTGAATAACACCAGACTGACATGTCCTTCAGGTGCAATTTCTGGTTCAGCTAAGAAAAGGCAGCCAGGCAAACCAGATATTTTCCCTTGCTGCATCCTCTTTATCCTCTTCTCAATGTGATGAGACTAGAAATGAGCAACATGGAGGGGAGCCGGAAAGGAGTGGAGTAGGAGATTCGCTGCTTGCTCTGGTGTCCTAAACGCTGTATCCACAATCCTGCTGTACTGATTAAGGTTGGAGTGAATTCCCCTTTGATAATGCTGGATCTGAAGGGAAGGGAAAAGCTTTGTGTCACAGTACCTCCCATATGCAACAATTCCACTGCGATCCAGAGCTGAAGTTCACATTTTTAGGAGAAAAGCAGCCTGCACAGCCTGCAAACCAATATAAGAGAAAGATGCACAATGGAAATATATGATAAAAAGTGACACTTTAATTTTGTTGTTCACTCACAGCCAAATAAGAAGAAATCTACTATGCAGATGTTCTCCATCTCAGCAGCCCTTACATTTAACTGTCCAGGGAGGAATAACATCTATCCCAAATGGTTTATTTATCCCTAATGATCTGCTAAGACATTCCCTATTTGTGTGCCACCCCTTCTGAAAGACAGCACTGGAAAATGTCTTATTGTGAATTTCAGTTTTCCAGATTCCCAAGGACTGGAGGGCACAACTTAGAGACCTCAACACGACAAAGAATGAGCTGCATGCAAATTTCTCAAATATGCTGCAAGCAATAGGAAATCAGCTGTGCTTGGAAGGGGAAAAAAACCTTAAAAATAATGGTAAGTCAACAAGTTTTGATCAGGGCTTATTTTTCAACATGGCAGGGAAGCAAATGAGATGTGTCTTCTGTGTCTACTCAGGTCTGTCTACTCAGGTCTGTCTCCTCAGGTGAGCCTGTGCCTTCTCAGATGTGACCACCTAGAAAGTAGGCAATGAGCATGTCTGCCTCATGCAGTGTCTGGAGAGGCGCCCAGCCTGGCCATATGTGCACTGGCATGGGGCCTGGCAGTGGTACCAGCGTTTCAGGATTTAGTTTCCATAAAAAAAGTGTTCTGTGGGATGCCTTCTGGACCTGCCAGTTCCTTCAGCACTAGTTCAGGTATCTCTACAACATGCTGATCTGCATCTAATAGACAATTTTACAGTGGTGCCTAAGAATTAAACAACTTACTGCACTGTACGTGAACAGCAGTCTACACACAGGACAGCGTGCTAGTACTGACCCCAGGTAAGACAGGAATCTCCTAAAGTCAGAAATGATGTGCAGTGAAGCATAGCTAAACCAACCTGGGAGTTCACTCCCTGTCTCCTGACTGTGTCCAGTGCAGGGCTGTTTCTGAAATCAGTTTGCCACAGCTCGGTTATTTAAGTGGCATCTGACAATGAGCCAGCCAGAGAATTAGTTCTCTTCAGAAATTATATTCTGAGGAGTAGGGGCATGGGGCAAAGGGATCCTATTTTGACTGTCAGGAGAGGGGATTTCATTTGTCCAGATATTGTTCCACAGACAAACTAACTGTCTAGTTCCCCCTTTTAGTTAATGAACAGAAATTGGTAGTGCAAGCATATGGTCTGTTTCTTCCCAAGACAGACACCTGAAATGACAGAAAAAGCACACGTGAGACACCCCTACTTCTGTCCATTGACTAAAATGGGAATCCAGATGGGTTGACTCATGTCACTTTTGTAGTTTCCTAAAATTAGGCAAAATAAATCCCATTTGCAACACCTGAACCTCCTCCCAGTGCTAAAGGAATGGGAGAGATAGAGGGATGATTTGGTGTTCATGTCTTTCATTACCTGAACCTTCTGGCACCACAGTGGGATTTTGACTGAATGAAGACCATCTCAAACATCCTCAGTCCCTACGGATCTTGTCATCACAGGCCAAGAGTGAGGGACAGCCTGTGAGGGACAGCCTGGGAACAGAAACAGAGTGATGGTTTTCCTTTTCCAGGCCAGAACTGTGTACTCTGCCCTGCAAACTGGAACTGGGAAGGTGGCAATATGTGTTACTACCACTCCAAGCAAGAGAAGTCGTGGGAAGAGAGTCACTGGTTTTGTTCTTCACAAAACTCTACTATTCTTCTGATAAAAGATGCAGCAAAGCTGGTATGGACTGGTTTCTCACACTGTTTAGCATGGAGAAAGTTCATGCACCATATCAGCTGCTCAATTCACATGTAATTTTCTCAGATGGCGCTGTGAGCAGTTTTTCTACAGTGATCAGTTTGTCCTGGGCAGTGCTAAGGCATAGGACTGGTCATAGGCACACAAAGTGCTACCCTTTGAGCGGCTGGTGGTTGGAGACAGCCCATCTTGCCACAGCTTGCCGTGGCTGGCTACGTACTGGGATGACTGGTGAAAGAGGGTTCATGGCTGTTTTGTCATGGGCAGTGATTTCACTAATTTAACAGGTATTACAGATCCATACAAGGATTTGGTAAGACATTAGTGTGAAAACCTCTTTTAACCTGTTCTTCCCATAGGCAAACCATAGCCCTCCCCATTTTGTGGAAGTTGTTCTCACAAAAGTTGATCTCATCTTTTAAATCAAAATTAAAACACTTGGCAGCAAGTTGCTGAGATCTGCCCTAATCTTTTAGTAAATGAAAACAAACTGAGGTGGGAAGAGAAAATGCTAGGTGTAGAGAGAAACAATGCTTTTGCCTCTGGATGCCAGCAGATGTTTTGGAAGACCAAAGGCAGAAAAGATGTCCCAGCACTTGATAAATGCCAATTCCCCTCTCAGAGCTGTAGGCCATAAGGTTTCTCCCAGCAGGAAAGGGGAGCAGCTTTATTCTCACCCTCCCAAATTGGTGACAGCAAAGATTGTGAGGTGCAGTCTGTTCTAGCTGTCTTAATCATGGCATTGAAAGATACGAGGAAAAAGAGAAAATGGAGAAGTGCACTGGGAGTGACAATGATAAGTGAAGGAAGGAGGAGAACAACAGAAGAAATCGAATTCAAATCTTCAGAGAATTCCCTCAAGTAGCAGTGAGAAAGGCAGCATTATTTAAGTTTACATTCTTACCTGTTCTGCTCCAAGCATTTTTTAAGAACATAATATCACTAAATGCTTGACTTTAAGACCTCCTCTACTTGTCAGTCCAGCTTTTGGGAATAAGTAAATGATACTACACCCAAGTGTGAAGGTTCCACAAATCAAACCCAACAGCTCCCTGCAGAGGCTTCCTTTTCACTGTTGACAAAGGCTAAGGACAGAGTAAAGGGGGAAGAATGATTCATGACTAAAGTGGGAAGAACGATCCAGTGTTTCACCCAGAAGGTTTAAATCAGGTTGATGGGGGTGACATTGCTCTTCAGAGCTATAAATGTATCTTCTCTCCAATTAAAAACAGATCTACTATCATTTCTGCTTTGATAGTAGGCTTTTCCTCTAAGACCAGAACTTGTCCTGACAGGTTAACAATTTGTGGTATTTATGTTCTTTAAGCAATTTCCATCAATGCTTTCAAATTCTGAGCCTAAATATTTATTTTTAATATCTTCCTGAATATCTGTTTTGAATTGTGCTTACTCTGCATAGGAACTGGTAAAAAAATTTCCTAGAAAAATGTACTGGCTTGGATTAAGATTTAGACCTGAACAGAGAGACTGGTATTGGGCAGACAGCACAGCTCTTACAGAAGAACAAAAGTCTTGGTAAGTGGGGAGCTTTCCCGCAGTACATAAAGCTGGTCCTCACCCATACACACCCAAACTCCCAGTTTCTCTGATGCAAAGGGAACACTGAACAGCCAATTTCTATGCAGCTTTCTCTGTATTCTGGGTCTCACTTTTCCATTTCAGATTTTTCTTGGCCTCACCCAGGACTTCTTGGAGGGTGATCTAGGCACTATTACTGGGCAAAAAAAGTACCCTGCAAGTTTATTTCCACAATTTAGTTTCAGAGTGACATGTCATATGTTTCTCTTGTATTTGACATCTTGTTTCAGTGAGGATACATGGAAAAAAACCCAGTGGAAAGGTGTTTCATTTCATGCTTTTAATTTTATACTTTTTTATTTTTATATAAGACATTATTTACTCTCTGGAATCATTTCACTTCAGTTTAACATGTTATTTCAGAAATACAGTATATTTTTCTCTTGCTTGCAAACCTACTTTGCTAATTTTCCTTTTCATTATTGGGCAGTCTCCTCTTAAAATTTCTGTTGAAACAGGCACTGACACCCTCTAGTCAGTACCCAGGAGTTATCGTTTCTTACTGTCAGGTACAGGAAATGGTTTAGGATCCACCCTTACAGTCTGCTAGGGGTGCTTGTTGGCATGTTCAGGACAGGGTCAGCCTCCTAGGAATTGGTGCACTATGTCACTAAATGCTTTATTTCTTTGTTGGGGGTATGTATTCTTCATGAAAGCCATGTAAGTAATTCTTGCAAAGATGGCTCTTTATGGAAGGTTAAGGATGAACCATTTGAATGAGGTGAGATGTAACAAAAAAGGTTTTTCTTTCCTAGGGTAAAGTATGTAAATTACTTCCAATCCTGTCAATATTTTTATTACACTGCCGTATATAACAAACCATGTGAAGACGAGCTTCACTATGTCTGTGAAAAGCCTGCCATCCAATTACAGCGAGGTGACAACCATTGGCGGGAGGACTGGTTTGTCAGACCAACATGATTATGAGCAGCTAGAAGACATTCTGCAAGGTTGGAATTTATTATTTTGTTTTTCAGACTATCACATAGGAATTTAAATATGTTGGATCAGACCTATTACATTTCCCTGTTTTCATTCTCTTTTAGACATATGTAAAAATATCTTCATACTAAGGAAACGGGCATGGTGAGGGGCTCCAGGAATGACCCAAGTCTGTTGTTCCAGATCCAAATCTGCCAAATGATTACTCAGTTTTAACCAACACAAGTGATGGACAAAATGGCCAAAAGTGATGGCCAGGAAAAAAAGCACAGTGACAAGGCAAGCACGTAAAGATACTGCTCCTCTCCCACCATCCACTGATGCAGTCCTAATACCACTTGTCAGTTCATAACTGTACAGCTGTAACATAACACAGGTGATGAGGATTAAACACTTCAATTCAGGAGATGCTTCTGATGTCTTGTTGATCTGACTGCTTTAATACACTAGTAGGCTGGAGTATACAACACACAAACACAGTTATCCTCAGAAGGTGGGTCAAGGTGTTCCATAACCATATTAATAATCATATTTGCTCTGGAGCACAGGGATTCATAGTCCTCATAAGGACTTGTGCATGTGTCACAGGCTAAGATAGCCTTCAGCTATGAATGTCTAGCTCTCTTCCATGCTCTATAATTCTTCCTGGCTCCATTAATTCTCTTTTTTCCTTTTTTTTTTTCTTTCTTTCCATCCCCCCCCCACCCCCCCGTAATAATTCTGCTCTACCTTTCTAATTTTCTACTTTTTTTTTTTTATCTATTGCAAGAGTTACACTAGGGTTCAGTCAGAGGCATGAGCAGAACCTCCTTTTATGTATTTTTAGGATCTTTCCTGGAATGCGCTACTACTGACTTAATGTGCTGAGCAAGGGTCTACAAACCCAACCATAGTGAAAATACCCCAAGCAGTGTTAATGAACAAAATGTCTCCCTCCACATCTCTGTAGAACAATGACAGTCAGGTTGAAATAAGAAATCTCAGTCCCATAACAGTGTTTTGATTGGAGCAAAAAGTCCACAAATTCCTAGCTTGGTCCCCTCCAGAGAGTTGTGTGTTCCTTGTGGTTTGCATCCCAGATTATTTATTGTGGATCATTTACCACAGGTGTAGCAGCTGGGCTGCTAAAGCATTAGTCATTCCCTTCAAGGGGCTGTTCTAGTGTCTCACTGATCTCAGCACTACACAGCAGTTTCTGATCACCAACATGAACATTTCAGGTGTTATTTTCAAATACTAATTTCACGCTCCAGAAACCTTAGTGGATTACTCTGTTTGCTGTTTACACTTATCACTCATATCTCTAGCATAACCTCTTCTAGCTGCTCCCCTCAGTTCCTCTCCTAGCTGTTCCTGTCTTTGCAGGTGAAAATGCAGAGTGCTTCTGTCTTGCAGTGCAGACACAGCCCTGGTGACTTCCCAGAGTGTCTCTCAGTGTTCACACCAACTACACTGAAATAGGAAATCTCATGTGGAAAGTATCCTGAACTGTATTCATGGTGCATCCTTTATTGATAATGAAGGGCTTTGCTGTAATTTGCCAGAAAAATTAAAAAGAAAAAAACCCAAACTACTCTGATCTTGTTTTCTCTGACATTAGAGCAACTGTGAAGAAACAAAAAAGCTATTTCCAGGATGTTTTTTCATTAATGAGGCATACCTAATAGCAGAGGGGTGAATCCTACACGTTTCTGCCGTTTCTTGAAGACAAACACGAGTACAGTTTCACAGGTGCACCATGCTACTGAAACAGAAGCAGCTAGCTGCTTCTCCTCAAAAAACAGACTGAAACAAACAAAAAAAAAAAAAAGAGGAAAGAAATAATCACCCCAGAGAAGAAAGAGAGGAGACAAGTAGTGTCCTACCATTCACTGCAAGCATTCGGAGTGCTGCAGCAAACAACCTTGTCCAGCAAGGTTGAAAGTGGCAAAGGACATACCCTGGTGGTGTTGTAACCAGGTAGGGCTGTCTGATTGTATCCCCTTTTCCATTGAAAGGAGCTTTTCCTTACAGGGGAAGAGGCATAGAAAGGTACTCTTTGTGTATTTGCTGAGATGGCATTTTGTCCAGCCTGCTGACAATATTTATACACGGGCTGTATTCAACTGCAGGCCCAAATTTCCTGCCTTAGTTTACCTTTCTTTTCCTTTTAGTCTGAAAAACCAAGAAATTTTGCCTGCCCTGGATCCTTAAAAGAACAGATAGTGTGGTGGTGGAGCTCCATCTTAACGCTTTTGTTACTTCTGTTCTTGCAGCAGGATCTGTTTTAAAAGGTGACTCAAAAAAAAAAAGTGATATAATTAAGACTGCTTATTGAATTCAGAGCTAGAAAAATAATACAAGAAAATTATTACCTCCTGTTTTCTCTCCAGAATTAAAATCAGCTTGGAAAAAAGTTTCCCTAAAGGAGATTCGTTACATGCTTGAGAAGTTATTGCTAAGAGTGAAGAGGTTACTGTCATGAAAATCTGCAACCAAATTCAGTAGCATAGACACACTTGACTCCCAGTTCTCTGCAGAAAAGCCCTTTTTACACTAGGGTGTCAACATACAGTTTTCAGGCTGATAGACAAGGATTTTTGCACCATATTTAGCATGAAGTTTTTATAAGGATATTATGGATACACCACAAATACATAGTAAATGCTATTCCTTGCATGCCTGTCTGTGTAACAAAACTATGCACCCTTTGCTCCATACTTTTTCCTCATGCCTTCTCTTTGCATACGGGTAAAACATTATGCAAGAAATATATGCAGCCAGGAAGATTTCTGCTCTGAAAAAATCTATCATCTGCACAGCAAGGCAGGAATAATAGCCAAGTCATTACAGAATATTTCCAGTCTATTGAAATTATTTTGCAAATGGGAGACTCTGAAATTTACACACAAGAACAAGAACAGCTACTGCAGAAATTCCTCTCTTGCAATTTCCTTCTGACTCATCCTGTCACCATGATGTGACTCATCATGTCTGGACAAGTGCTCTGTTAAGGAGAGTTGGTCACTGAAGATGTTTAAGAACTACAGCTCAGCACTGGAGCAAGGCACTGCAAAGAGCTAGAGATGGACAGTGAGGATGGTTAAACCACTTCTGCACAGTCACTTCTGTGTATGGTGCAACAGCAGAGACATAGAGACATCCTCAGTGTAGTCTGGTCTTTCTCAGACACAGGCTGAGTGGTCACATGAATCCTGCCAAGCTCCTGGCCTCACCATCCTTTCACCTCAGCGTTCCCCCTTCTAGCATTTAGTTCAGTGAATTTTTGTAAAATAGTTTCATTTTTCATTTATTTCATAACAGTGTATAGAAATGCAGCCTATGGCTTTCAGTGCAGCTGATGTGTTGTATTCGTGCCCTGATACATGAACAGATATCTTTCATACCTTAACTCAAAATAGTAACTATTTTTGGAGCATCTTATTTTAAGGAGGTAGAATATCCTGATGTTTGCTATATTTACAGGGTCTTATTGGGTGGATAGTTAAATTAAACAGTCTTAGGTTCCATCCAGGAACCAAGACTCCTGCTCTTCACATTCAGGAAGAAAACACCCATCCTTGAAAGTGCCACTTTAACTCCTTAACATGCTTTCAATATACTACACTTCTGGTATGACACAGTAATCAGAACAGAGCCAGCTTCCTCCGTGGTTTCACTGGAAATGCTAAAACGTGAACCATTCCCATTGCCTCAGCATTGCTCTTGCTGCAGTGTGCCCCTGCGCCCAAAGTACTGCTATTGCAGCAAAGAAGTGTGATGAGCTGGAAATGGAGGATGAGGAAGGCTACACCACTTTAAATTTACGACCCTCAGCTTCAGTTATTGCTCCTGCATATTCAACCAGCAACAAATGTTCTGCATTTAAGGCTCAAGCCAGTTGTGTTGTAGTAGACAGTAAGTACAGATGGAAATTTGCTTTTCTATCTAAATCAGGGCATAACTTAAATTTGCATGTTCAGGTTGATTGCTTTAGAATCTTTCTAAACTTTATAGTATATTCTTAGATAAATGTTCATAGAAACAGCAGAAAGAATAATCATAATGGAGTCTTGTGTGCTATTGTTTATGATATTTTTTCTGAAGCCTATCTTTACTGCAATTATTTTTTCCATTTACTTCAACACAGAAAACAAATTTCACCTTTCTATGGATTTTTTTTCATTTTGGTAAGACTCATTTATTACAGCAGGGTACTGCAAGAGAGGAAGGTGCTATAGTTTTATCAGACAATGCAGGCCTTGGAAATGGAAGCAATGTCCTCAGCTATGGGGAGTAGAAAGGTGCCCTGTTTATCAGTGAATGTAAGCTCTGATAGGAGTATATATTTTTATTTGTTTATACTCAAAGTTTTTCTATAAACAAGCTGAGTGTTAGCTAAGATAGTGGATTGTGCCCGTGGAATGCCTGAGACCATAAAATGATGACGTGAGTACTGTTGCTGCTGCTCATAAATTCACCACATGGCTTATGTGTGAAACAAATATCATTGCTGCTATTTGCAGGTTAGGTAGAGTAGACAGAGACTAAATTAACATCACTCTGGTGCTGTCTGGCAAAGAGCTATGGCTATCAATTGAGAATGATGGCTTGACAAGGAGGAGGGAGGAGAAGCTGTTGAGAAGCAGCAGCCAGAAAACCAAGGATAAAATATTAGGGAGTGTGATCTAGGAGCAGAGCTTCCCGGAAAGAAACAGGCTGGCGAGCTCAGAAAACTCTTAAAATGGCCTACGGATATGCACAGAGAACATGTAAAGTAGATAGACTTATGACCAAATTAGGTTGGGAGGGTTCATCTTTTCCAATTTTTTGCACAAAAGGGCTAGCTCTAAAGTCTGATCAAGTTGCTTAGGGACTTGTGCACTTGAGTTTCAGAAAACTCCAGGGATGGAGATCTCACATCCTCTTTGGGCACTTGTTCTAGTGCTGAAGGGGAAGAATTCTTTTTCCTCACAGCTAATCACAAGTTTCCTTGATGC